AAAAAGTGTGCAAAATCTCACCGTGATGGGCCGACCCGTTCAGGAGGAGTAGTGCGGACACACACACACAGACAGACAGACGGACAGACAGACAGAAAAAACTTTTCAACCCCAATGGAGTAACAGGCTTCGCTATCGCTCAGCCAAAAAACCACTGCTGGAGTGTTGCGGAGTCCTAAAGGCTTTTAGGATTTGGGTCTCCAAGAATCTTTTTATACATTTTCTAATTTTCTTTGAAAGTTATTTATTGTATGAAGCTAAGATATTACCTGAAATTAAATTGAGCTGGTTTTGGATGATGAATGTGCGCATTCTCCTGTGCTTGTAATTTGAGGGGGGTTTTCATTATGCTTGAAATTGAGCGTACTGACTTTACGCTTGAAGCAGGGCGTAAGAATTTCTGACCTGGCTTTAGTACGCTTGGCTTCAAGCGTAGCCCCTCTACGCTTGAAGTCAAGCGCAGGGGTACGCTTCAAGATTTTACGCTTGAGGACAGGCGAAATTTAACTACCCTTAGTTTTACCAGTGAAGTTTGTGTCTCCCAGGATGCTGGGCCCTTTGTTCTAAATTCTAGATTGACATGGGGTGATTTCTCGACACAAACTTTTTATGGCCTCAACCAACGTCTACTCACGTCAACTGTCACTGTGCGAAAAAACCACGGTAAATCCCGTTAATTTTTTTGCCGGGATTTACTGTAGTTCAGGACACAGTATTCACTGTGCCTGGTTACAGGCTGAGCGTAGCGAAGCTGTTACTCCAGGGGGGTTAAAAAATTTTTTCCTGTCTGTCTGTCTGTGGTGTGAGTGTGTGGGTGTACACTACTCCTCCTGTACGGCTGGGCCGATCCGCTGAGATTTTGCAGCTTATAGGTATGTCCTTGGCTCGGCAAAAAGGGAAATTTCACCATCCTAGCTCAACTGGTTTGGTTTTTAAAGCCGAAAAACACTTAAAAACGGCGAAAAATCGAGTTTTCTGTAGGCAAATTGCCTCTGTCTTGAAAAAAGGGGGTCTGCGGGGCGGAGCCCCCCAGCCAGGACAAGTGAAAAAGCTACAAGGGTCAAGATCGCGTTATCTGCAGATGAAGCAACTCCATCTAGAACAAGGTAGGTTTACGCCAGACCCGTCTTGTCGTAACAGTTTCGCGAGTCTCGCTGCCTGTTTCCCCAAATCCGCGCCTGGCGTCCCTACCTTGGCCTGGGCGCTAGCCTGCCTTCGGCACGCAATGGCTTCTCCATCGTCGATTTTCCCAACTTGTTGCATGCTGGGGGGCTCCGCCCCCCAGACCCCCTTCATTCTAGATGGAGTTGCTTCATCTGCAGATAACGCGATCTTGACCCTTGTAGCTTTTTCACTTGTCCTGGCGGGGGGGCTCCGCCCCCCAGATCCCCTTTCTTCAAGACAGAGGCGATTTGCATACAGAAAACTCGATTTTTCGCCGTTTTTTAAGTTTTTTTCGGCTTTAAAAACCAAACCATTGAGCTAGGATGGTGAAATTTTGCGTGGCCGAGCCAAGGACATACCGAATAAGCCTGCAAAATCTCAGCCAGATCGGCCGAGCCGTTCAGGAGGAGTAGTGTACAAAAACCCCAAAGACAGACGGAAAAAAATTTTTCAACCCCACGGAGTAACAGGCTTCGCTATCGCTCAGCCAATGGGGGGGGGTCTGGGGGGCGGAGCCCCCCAGCATGCAACAAGTTAGGAAAATCGACGATGGAGAAGCCATTGCCTGCCGAAGGCAGGCTAGCGCCGCAGGCCAAGGTAGGTACCCAGGCGCGGATTGGAGAAAAGGCAGCGAGACATCGCGAAGCCTGTTACGACAAGACGCGGTCTGGCGTAAACCTGCCTTGTAGTACCGGTACAGGATATTCCGTACTCCACTCCTGTGGTAACAGTAAATCCCATACAATAGGTTTACGCCAGACCGCGTCTTGTCGTAACAGGCTTCGCGATGTCTCGCGGCCTGTTCCTCCCAACCCCGCCTGGCGTACCTACCTTGGCCTGCGGCGCTAGCCTGCCTTCGGGAGGAATTGGCTTGTCCATCTCCATCGTCGGTGACTTTACTTTTGCATACTAGGGGGCTCCGCCCCCGGGCCCCCTTCATTCTAGATATAGTTGTTTCATCAACAGATATCACGATCTTGACCCTTGTAACTTTTAAACTTCTCGGGCTGGGGGGGGCCGCCCCTCTGACCCCCCTCCCTTCAAGACAGAAGTGATCGCCTGCAGAAGACTCGATTTTTCGCTGCTTTTTAGGTGTTTTTCGGCTATAAAAACTGAACCCCGTGAGCTAGGATAGTGAAATTTCGCGTGTGCCGAGCCAAGAACATACCTTATAACCTGCGAAATCTCAGCCAGATCGGCCGAGCCGTTCAGGAGGAGTAGTGTACACAGACAGACAGACAGAAAAAAATTTTCAACCGCACTGGAGTAACAGCTTCGCTATCGCTCAGCCAACAAAGTACAGTAGATCCCGTAAAAAAAGAACAGCAATCATGGTGGAAGCCCTCCCATGAGATCCCTGCTGCAAAACGACCTCATATTGCATGGCATGTCGCTTGGCCATGGTGCTGAACCGCGGTCTCATGGGATTTCAATGCGCTGTCATGGAATTTGCGTCATGGGATCCCATGCAATCCATGGTTTTTGGGACTGGGGTACACACGATTCCGGATTCCCGCGATTCCCAGAACATATCCCCGAGAAAAAGAGAAAAATTGCGAATAATTTGCTTTGTATTTGAATATTTTTGTGTGTATCACATGATTTACCATGACTTTAAATTGAAACTATGAGGATTTTCCATCAAATTTTAAAATATTTACGAATGATTCCCGGACTGAGTGTACACATGATTCCCGGACTGGGTAAACCCTCGGCCCCTGCCCAGGGGCCCTGCGCGAGGTCGACGCGGACGTGCAGCGGCACATCTGGCGCTGCGTGCACGCCAAGGACCTGCCCGTCGACGCCCGGTCGACCTGGTACGAGGCAGTCCAGGACGTGCTCCCCACCGCCATCCGGCTGCAGGCCGCCAAGCAGGCCGCGGCGCCGGACTGCCCCGGGGCCCGGAGCCAGAGGACGTCGAGCACCGCCTGGCGCGCTGCGGCGCCCAGGGGGGACGCCTGGGCCTGGCTGCGGCAGCGAGTCCTGGACTCCACGGGCGTGGCGATCTCCGAGGGGTCCATCACCAGGGCCCACGCTGCCCGCGGGGCCGCCCGGGGGCCCCCGCAACCTGGACGCTGGGCGTGGCGGTCCACTTCTTGGGCCCCCAGGAGGAAGGTCACGGCCGCGGCGCTCCGAGGCCCGGGACAGCGAGAGCTCTGGGCGTCGGGTGATGTGACGTCACGCGCCGGGCCGGCGCGTCGGCTGCTGGGACACTGGAAGGCGCGCGGAGTATCGGCGCAGCGCGGCGTCTGCTGCGAGCCCCGAGCAGCGCGCGGGGTAGAGACGAGGCGGGATGTCAACCGCCGCAGGGAGTAGCGGCGCTGCGGCCATGAGTTATGTACCCTTTTCAATTGATTTTATTTCTTGTATTGGTGTTTTATTCAGTCTTTCTTTTAATGTCCGCCTTGTGTTTTATAATTCAGTTTTTTTATTGTTCCTTTTAACCTTGTCTTTTAGTCAAATCTCATGCAACGTTGGTAATTTTATATACGTTTTAAATGTTCTTTTAACCAGTGTTACTCACATGATGTTTCTCTGTTCCAGGTTGGCGTAGGGCACGGGGGGTAGGGGGCGTCATACTCAGGCGACCTTCGATTTCGGCTTGCGGGTGTGACTCAAAAGTTTCGTTTTTTAGTGCTGAGTTCAGATTCGTGTCGGGTTTTGCGATCGGACTGCGTCTTGATCACCCTACCCGACGATTTATGTCAAAAAGCGGCGAAAATTCGTTTTTTCCCATTGTTTTGCCCCCTTGAGTTCGGGGTGGCGGTTTCTCGACTGGATTGCCTTCACTCACTCTAGACACGACTTTTCCAACCACCAGAGCCCATGTGAGCCACCCCATTTGGAGCCTAGGCCTCAAAACATGCCAAAATTTGGTGAAAAAATGAAAATTTTCACCGTTTTTTCGACATTTTTGGGCCATTTTGAGCCCCACATCGCCCCCTTAGGTGACCTGTATGGATAAAAAGGAGGAAGGTGTGTAGGGGAAAGGGAGCCCAGCGCCGGGGCATCGACCGGGGTGTCGTGGAGGGCGGCGTTGAGTCGGCAAAATACAGGATTTTTTCGAAAAATTGAAGAAAATGGTCTATGCAGCCGCTGTAGCTGTGGCAGCGAATGTGCAGGTTTGAGCTCGTTAAGCAAGTTTGCTGTTCCCACCCCGAGGAGGTGCCTGCACGTCGAGCCCCGCCCGCCCACCCACCCGGGCGTAGCGGTTAGCTGCGTATAACGCTGTTTTTTCGGCCATCGAAATACAAAGCTTCTGGTTGAGAGCACTCCGCCAGACCCGCAGCATTGGCTCCTCCCAAGACCCCCCATTTTCTTCAATTTTTCGATAAAATCCTGTATTTTGCCGACTCAACACTCTACCAAAAATGTCCTGTAAATGCCGTTAATTTATTACCAGTTTTCACTGTAGGTCAATTCACAGCGTTTACTGTGATCTGCTCACGGGATTCACTGTGATCTTGTTCGCGGTGTTCACTGTGATCTGGTTCCCAGTAAACACTGTGAGTTTGACGCCGCGAAGCACCGAAGTACTGCAAATCAGGCTCCAATTCACGGCGTTTACTGTGGCCAGATCACAGTGAACACTGTAACCGAGATCACAGTGAACGCTGTGAACTAGTTCACAGCAAACGCCGTGAATTGCATAACAGCAAACATTGGTAATAAATTAACGGCGTTGACAGGACATTTTTTGTAGAGTGAATGCATTAGCATAGGGCCTTTTCGGGACGCGTTGCACGTAAGGTGCAATATGGCTATCGCATTGCACGTATGGTGCGATATCTCAACTGCATTGCACCATACGTGCTATACTCATAGCGTTTGGAATCTCAGTGTCGGGAAGTGTACGCCACCACAAGCAATAGTGTCTCCGGTTTGCATTTCTTAAACTCCATGGAAGGAGTTTTTACAGTCTGATTGGCATAGTTATTGAAAATAAAAGTACATAAATATTCGGAAGCGCCTCATAGTCTCGTTCAAAGGTCTCGTTCACGGGGCTTCCTACCTGCAGCTGCGCGAAGTCCCTGACGCCGGCCTCCACGACCTTCAGCTTCTCCGCCAGGCGGCGCTGCGTGCTGACGGCGCGCTCCAGCAGGTCCAAGGTGGGCTTCATCTGTTTGGCCCGCTCTTGGTGCAGCCGGCGGAGGGCGTGTTTGTCTTCGCAGACGGGGTCCGCCACCGCCTTGCAGTCCAGGCACCAGAACCTGGCAGTGCTTCCGCCACCAGCGCCCCTGTCGGCAAATAGGGCTCTGTCTGCACTCTAAAATTTTGCGAACAACGAGTTCATAATACGCCCACTGTAAAAAATTCCGTACTTTTGTACGGAAATGGTACAGAAAAATATAGTTCGGAGGTACGGAGAAAAGTACGGAACGTTTCGTACTTGCTCCATATGAACCCATGTAAATGGGTACGGAAAAAAAGTACGGAACGTTCCGTAGTTGGCAAGTACGGACGTTCCAGGCAAATTATTGACCAGACATGTTCCGTACTTTTTTCTCAGTGTCCTTTGCAAGTTGAGAGAAGGAGGAGAACAGGAAGCCAAAATCCACTGTTTTAAAGCAATGTTCTTACTGATGGCAAGAATATTTCTTTGATTCAAGACCACTATTTCAGGTTGCATAAGGGATGCAGTTCTACGGGATGCAGCGCCGCTTCATACCTCGCCTTTTCGGGTTTAGGAGGTTCCTGGATCAGAGACATGATGTAGTAGTTGTCGTTGAGCTCCTCTGGTTTGCATCGCGTTTCCTGTAACGCCAAATAAAAATCGTTTTGTTTGCTTTTTCGAAACGCTTAATTTTCGCGGTCTTCGCTTGCACTAGTTTTTATTCTGACCGCAAGCGGCGCACAGAGGGTCAGAAGACCGGTGGAGGCGGTCAAAATCCCATACAAGTTTTGAGCTTCAGAGTTGCTGAACGGGGCTCAAACCGAGCGTGTGACCCCATCAATGGATTGCTCTCCGAACTAGGAATCCATTGGTGGGGTCACACGCTCGGTTCGAGTCTCACTTAGCGACTCTGGAGCTCATAACGCGTCTAGAGTTATGCCCGCCCCCGCCGGTCTTCTGGCCCACACTACCTTCCGGTCGATGGGGCAGAGGAAGGCCGTCTCGGCGTCGCTGCGCGCGTCCTGCGCCTTGTCCCGGATGCCCACCACGCACTTCAAGCAGACCGTGTGGCCGCAGGACAGAAGCTTCGGCCGCCGCGTCGCCAGGTCGAACTGCTCGCAGCACACCTCGCACTCGAGGGACCGGTCCAGCGAGTCCGCCATCGTCCCCGGGCTGAAATAAAGACTCGTTGGCAGAGAGCGCTCCAGTTTCGCGACACACCACGTGGTTTTGTACACATTTTGTGCGAGATGCCACAGTTGGCCACAGTATTGTTTGTGCAGAAAAACTTTTCGTTCAACTCGTGGTGCGCAGTTTTGCACAGAAATGGGTAAACGTGTCCAGTTTCCCGTATGGAAATTGTACAAAGAGTTTACTATACAAATCGAAGAGCGTACATTGCATGCTCTAACTGGCTGGAGCATGCCTGCAGGCACGCTCTAGCTAGCGCATGCCTGCCAAGCATGCACTTACTAGTGCATACATGCCTGATGCAGGCAACTCCCTATCCCTGATGCACTAGATGCATGCTTCAGTTAGCGTGATGGCATGTGCATAGTAAGTGCACACTCTACCCAAAAATGTCCTGTAAATGCCGTTAATTTATTACCAGTTTTCACTGTAGGTCAATTCACAGTGTTTACTGTGATCTGCTCACGGGATTCACTGTGATCTTGTTCGCGGTGTTCACTGTGATCTGGTCCTCAGTAAACACTGTGAGTTTGACGCCGCTGAGCACCGAAGTACTGCGAATCAGGCTCCAATTCACGGCGTTTACTGTGGCCAGATCACAGTGAACACTGTAACCGAGATCACAGTGAACGCCGTGAACTAGTTCACAGCAAACGCCGTGAATTGAATAACAGCAAACATTGGTAATAAATTAACGGCGTTGACAGGACATTTTTTGTAGAGTGAATGCCGCCCTCCACGACACCCCGGTCGATGCCCCGGCGCTGGGCTGCCTTCCCTACACACCCTTCCTCCTTTTTATCCATACAGGTCACCTAAGGGGGCGATGTGGGGCTCAAAATGGCCCAAAAATGTCGAAAAAACGGTGAAAATTTTCATTTTTTCACCAAATTTTGGCATGTTTTGAGGCCTAGGCTCCAAATGGGGTGGCTCACATGGGCTCTGGTGGTTGGAAAAGTCGGGTCTAGAGTGAGTGAAGGCAATCCAGTCGAGAAACCGCCACCCCGAACTCAAGGGGGCAAAACAATGGGAAAAAACGAATTTTCGCCGCTTTTTGACATAAATCGTCGGGTAGGATGATCAAGACGCAGTCCGATCGCAAAACCCGACACGAATCTGAACTCAGCACTAAAAAACGAAACTTTTGAGTCACACCCGCAAGCCGAAATCGAAGGTCGCCTGAGTATGACGCCCCCTAACGGGGGGCCGAACCCACTTCGGTGGTAATAAGCCCCTCGCCGCCGCCGCTGTCCTGGAATGGAGAGGCATCATGTGACGTCCAGTTTTTTAACCTCAACCTCCATGTTCAAGATCAAGTTTACATGCAATATTATTTATTATTATTTATTCAATTTATCAAGTTTGTTAAAAGTTACTATGAAATATATTGATGTTATAAAAAAAAAGTTATATTAACTTTGGCGAAGTGAAAGGAATCGTCTTATTAAATCCCATCACTAACCATATATATAGTTGGTTGTCTACGCACTAATTGACTCACCGCTCAAAACCTGAGTCGTCTCTTTGAACCCAATATCAATTCAAACTCTATTAGGATTAAATATACACAACCATACACTGTGGCAAAAAGCTACGGAAAATTCTGTAAACAGCTTGTGGTAATTCTCCGTAGGCCCCTTATCAATATTCTCCGTTGGCTCTTACAGTATTTTCTGTAGGACCGCACAGTATTCTCCGTAGGACCGCACAGTCTTCTCCGTAGGACCTCGAAGACTGTATAGTCCTACGGAGAAGACTGTGCGGATTTACAGAGAATACTGTGCGGCCCTACGGACAATACTGTAAGAGCCTACGGAGAATATTGATAAGTGGGCTACGGAGAATCCTGGCAAAAAAATTAACAGGATTTTCCGTACCTTTTTGCCACAGTGTACATTGATTCTAATAATAAACACATGTTAGTACTTTTGCACTGTTGTCAGCTTGCAGCATTGAAATAGAATGTATTTCTCGAGTCCAAACTAAGTATGCCTGCCAATTTCAACACAAGTTATTTATGCATTTCCCTGATTTCCTCCAGTTTGAAAATTTTAAAAAGAGGATGACACTAAAATTAAATAAGAACATTCACACAATACAAAAGGTCAAAATAAAAACATTCTTTTTACAATGCTTTGTCAAAGTGCACTGGCCCGAAGATGATTCCCCTCCGACAGTGAAGGGGGGAGAGGAGAACGAAACACGTAAATCATTCTGAGGCACTTTTTTTAAGAAGTCCGATCGAAAAACATGACCACCGCCGATTTCATCGCCATTTGGGTCGAAGGTACCCCTTATGGGTCTTAGAAAAGCCCTAAAATATTGGGGGCGAAAAACGCATGGTTTGGATGTTATTCACGATTTTCGTTTTCTCTGACACAATTTAGGTGAATTTGGTCAAAATGTAAAAATCGATATTGCTCGGTCCCTGTCGGCTCCAGCTGCCTAAAGATTGACTCTCTTTGGTAAAATCGGCCGAGGAACAAGAATCCGGCGTCGGTTTTCTGATTGGACTGCTCAAATTTTGACCATGGCTGTTTTCCCATTTTTGCAGTCATTTCTTGTATCTCTGGGGTTTTGGTGATGGACATCGATTTTGACCGATCCCGGGGGTGGAATTTGAAGATAAAGGATCAAACTAAAATATTCCGTCATAAAAAGTTTGTGTATAGGGCAGCCCTAGCAGCAGCTACAAAAACCGTGAAAATGCATGTTTTGGGCAGAAAACTGCCCCTCTTTGTTCTTTCCACAGGACTGCGGTGGAAAGGCAGCGTGCTCCAGTGTGAGGGAGGCCTTCTGAGGCGCTGGCACTCATGTGGAACCAGCGCACCTTAGCCCAGCGCCAACACACAGGCAGCGAAACACGGACCTACCTCCGTAACGCCTGCGAACTGGAAGGTAGGCACGCCCGCCAAACGCCGCTGCGTGGCTGGCTGCCTACCCGCCGTGCTCGCAGGCGCTTGCTCCATCTCGCCATAGTCTCCCCATTCAGTTCACACTTGTAACAATGTCGAGCCGTGGTGTCCTCGCAAAATCGTCGCGGTAACTCCTCTCGTGGAGAATTTGGTTAAATTTAAGATCCTACCGATGAAAAAGCATCGTTTTCATTGGTCCTGGTCCTTCCGTCCGAAGTATCAACCTAAGGCCAGTACATTGCTTACTTTCTTTTAATATTTTTTAACACATTCACGACCGGACTCGTTTTGGGCAAACTTCCCCTCAGGACCGGAGTCTGCTTTGACCAAACCGTGCATCTCCCAGACCTCGCGACTAGATATAAGCACGAATCATGCAATAACAAAACCAACCAGCCGAAAAAAAAAAATTCCGGGAACCCCGTGCCCGGACGGTCGCGAGGGCCATGCCCATTCACGGGTACAGGGTTCCCGTGTGGACGCCAACGACATTAGATGCGGGAACGCAGTACGGAAACACGGTTCCCGCTCAAAATGAGTACCAAAATCATTTTATTTTTCAAAAATAAGGAAGAAAACGCAAAAAGTCTCAGTTTGAAGCTTGAATGGCCGTTTTTGAGTCCGGGAACCGTGTACCCGGACGGTCGTCAGAGACATGTCGAGTTCGGGAACACCGTTCCCGTACGTTAAAGCGGCCCAGCAAGCTAAATGAGGGTATTTTTGGAATCAGCGGATCGACCCCAGGCCATTCGCACACTTTTCGACCTGTTTTGAGCCGTTACAAACCAACCCGATTTCCACACGGCCTTCTTGACGTGCAGCAGAATCGGGGCCGTGTCAAAATCGAGTTGGTTGTAACAGCTCAAATCAAGTCGAAAAGTGTGCGAATGGCCTGGGGTCGATCCGCTTATTCCGAAAATACCCATTTCGCTTGCTGGGCGCTTTTACGTACGGGAACGGTGTTCCCGGACTGGACATGTCTCTGACGACCGTCCGGGAATCATGTACCCGTACCAAATTCATCGTACGAGGTCCGTTCAAAAAGTGACTTGCGTCTTTCGTTGAGGCGGTTCCAAAAAAATATGTCTCATGATCGTGACAATTCTGTGAGGCGAAATCGGAAAATCGGATTTGTCCGGGAACGGTGTTCCCGGATGGTCGTCTGGACTTTTTCCCGTACGGGAACGCGTGTTCCCGGACGGTCGTGAATGTGTTAACACCTTCGCGCCAAAGGCCAATTTTGGCGGCAAAGCCTTAGAGGCCTAAGGTGCTAAGTACCGAACCGTACGTCGCCAAAACATGGCACATGGATATACGGACTTGGTATGACCACCCGAACACCATGCGCCAAAAATCTTCTATACGAGAACCATGTTCTCGTGTCGTCGTCTGAGCCTTTGCGGTATCGGCTTGTGGGACGTGATCGTACGAGAACCCTGTTCTCGTAGCGTGTTCAAATATAATTTGTGATTTGTGCCGAAATATTGACAATTCAATCAATGTAAATCGATTTGAAATTCAAAGTTCGGTTCACACAAGAATCATTTTCTTGTTCAGGCGACACCACAAAAAGTACGAGAACCATGTTTGCGGTCCGGCGGGCACGCCATGTCTCCACGGACAATACTAGAACATGGTTCTCCTGCGTATTTACGGCATTTTACTGTCCAAGCTTCCTACACTGCAAATCCAAGTGTAGTACAGGTCGATACTTTAAGGCGCAGACCAGTTCGTCCTACGCTTGCAAGTGTCGACCAGTTGTGTCCGACGCTTTGAAGTGTCGACCACACAGTGTCCGACGCCTGCAAGTGTCGACCACACAGTGTCCAACGCCTGCAAGTGTCGACCACACAGTGTCCGACGCCTGCAAGTGTCGACCACACAGTGTCCGACGGCTGAAGTGTTGGGTCACAACAAGAAACTCAGTCAGTGTAATTTGCCGTAGGACAAACAGTGTCCTACACATGCAGGCGTCGGCCACAGTGTGGTCGACACACCAGAGCGTCGCACAGTGCGGCGAAATCGAAAAAAGGTGGCCAAAATTCATTTTTCCAAAG